ACACTGTAAGGCCCCGCCCTCCCTACGGCCAATGGGGCAGAGCACCCTGCGCGCGCCAGGCGCCAGCCTAAGTGAACAGAACGCGCGTGCGCGAGTGCGGGTGGTCCTTGCGCTGTATCACCTGCAGGGCGAACCGCTTAATATAAATTTTTTCCAGTAGACTGATGACGCTCCCTGGACCTAGTGTTTACTAGCTGTGTGCCCTAAGCAACTTCCTTAACTGCTCAGTGCCTCCTCCGTTTCCTTGCTACTAAGACGGACTAATAGTATACCCCTAGGGTGTGAGGAAAGATGGTAAAAGATGATACTGGGGTACAAAGAGCAGTGTATGCCTGAGTCATGGGAGCTTAATAAATCCCAATTGATCATTAATATTAGTGATTTTATCACTAACTCAGAATTCGCTGCGCTTCTTGCAGGCTTAGAGGCCGCTTCCATCTTACCAGGAGAGGCAGAATTAAATATCTATTTGAGGATATATTTTAAAATAAAATATTGCCAGACACTGATACAAAATGTATAGCACACTATATTTTAAATGTTTATCACTTCATAAACTAATGCCCTTAAATTGAACCACGAAGAATTAGTATGACTTCTAAAAAATATTAGTATGTATGACACCACAGGCTGGTGGGGACACAAGTTTAGTCCTGTCGTCATTGGACTTTTGTGACCCCGTGGTAAGTAAGCTCTCACTTGCCAAGGAGATCCAAGATCCACTTCTAAGTCCAAACCAAGCAATGTCATCCATCCCCAGCCACAGATCCAAAAGGAGGTTTCTCAACTGCACTACCGACACTTCGGGCCATGTAATTGTGACAGGGGCTGTCCTGTGCAGGGTAGGATATTTTTCCTGGCCTCTATCCACTAGATGCCAGTAGCAGACCTCTGCTCCCCAGTTGTAACAACCAAAAATATCGGTAAATATTGCCAAATTTCCTGACGTACAAAATCACCTTTGGTTGCAAACCAGTGCACTGACACTTTCATAATCTCCTTGCAGATAAGACCATGCTTAAACCTCTCTATACCTCCCACCCACACTTGGAGCCTCCTACCCAGCCATAGACACTTAAACCAGATAAGACACAGACATACATCCTTACAGAACAGGATGCAGTCAGCAGCACATTTTATTAGACCTGCTGGAAAAGATAGAGCTTCACTTCCTTTTTCTTATATTTTGAAATCACTAGTATATTTTATTTAATGTTTTATAATTTTTATAACTAATTTTTAAAAAAATTTTATTGGTACATAATATACTCTTTGCAGTACATGCTGACTACATTTACTGTGGGGAATTGGTACATATAATAAAATATCTCAATTCTTTTCCCCTTCTCCTCCATCCCTAGTTTTGTTTTGTTTTTCACTTTTGCCAGTATCAGATTTATTTATTTATAAGTTTTCATTAATTATCATAAACATAGATTAACAGCCATACTAACAGGCCAACAAACATATAAAACACATAAGACAATTACATTAATCAAGGTACACTTTCAGATACATTGGCCATGCTGGAGTATAGTAACTGTTTTTCCTCTCAGATCTTCACTTTTAGAAGAGATGCATACCCCAGCAGTGTGACTCCTACTTGCTAACACACTTTTCTGGCTCATTTCAGATGACATGGAAGGTGTCAGAAGCTCCATTATCAGAAACAGAATTGCCAGCAGACTTGATGGGGAAGACAGCCCCATTTATTTAGTGCTTTCCACATGGCTGGCCCTGTGCTAAGTGAACTGTGTATGCTGATTCACTTTCCTCCAGGCAAACACCCCATGATAGATTAGAAAACTAAAGCATGAAGCTTAGTTGTGGTGGTATATGCCTGTAGTCCCAACACTCTGGGAGGCTGAGCAGGAGGAGTTTGAGGCCAGCCTGGGCAATTTAACAACTTAGCAAGACCCTGTCTCAAAATTTAAAAAAAATAAATAAATAAAAGGCCTGGACACATAGCCAGTGTGAAGTCCTTGGATTAAAAAAAGAAAAGAAAAAAGAAAGCCGAAGCATGAGAATCTCAGGCACTTGTCCGAAAGAGCAGGTATTTGAACCCAGGTCCTCAATACCTAGCGCTCTACCTAACCTCACTTGAAATCATCCTGACAAGGGCTTTGTCAGAAATCAAATTTTTCCTATGAAATGTGTCTGAAAATAATTCCTTAACCCCTAAAACGCCAAAAGTTGACACAGGTCCCTCATTTAGGGCAGAAACGTGACTCTAAGCTATTACATACATCCTGCCTTGTAATAGAATGTTTAATAGTAAAATAAAAATGTTAGCTCACTCACGCTGTTAATGACTTCTTAATGTGCCTACCTAGTCTTCTAAGCCTTTTATATGTATCATGTTATTTAACAAGTAACATTTACTATCTCGAGGTCACTGTGATGAAAAGCAGCTGTTGTACTATTTCAAAACCTGAATTCCAGCCCCAGGGCTGACTTCCATTTTGCCCGAGAAAAATGGCTGGAACGGCGCCCCCTGTCGACCACAAGGGTTTGCTGCAACATCACCCGAGATGTAGCTTGTAAAAGCCTGTTGCGCCAGGTAAAAGCTCCACACAAGCTTCAGAAACACTGATCTTTATTTTCTTTATTTTTCAGGGCACTGACGTGAGTCTCCACCACAAGGAAGGAAACTGCCATTTCAATAACATGTCCTCGGCCCCTCAGCTCTCTCCAGGGGAGGTTCCTGGGGGTCTGGGGAACAATGCCAACATCCAGACCTCCCTCCAGATTTCAGTGATCAAGTAAAAATTTTTATTGTGACATTTTTTGCAAAATTTTGCCCCCCAAAGGTACCAGCAGAGTGGCTGTCACCACTGTTATGTGACATTAGATTGATATTTGACAATACAACAAAAAGTCAAAATTTTAAAAGCCACAGCAAAAATAAGATTGAAAGTAGGGCCTAATTCACTCCTAGTCCACCAACTAAAAGGAAAAGATAAATCTTCCCTTTTAGAAAAGATAAATACCCCAGGAGAATGACTACTGTTTGCTCACATGCTGTGTCCCATGTCAGATGACATGCAAGGTCAGGATGAGGTAGGAGAACGTTAAGCATCCATGAGATTCGTGCTGTAATTTTAATCTCAGCGGATCCACTCAGGGACAAATCCATAAAGCCCCTATTATGAATTTCAGTTAAAGTCTTAACACTTGGGCTTGTTTCCGAGCCTTAACAGCAGTTCTAGGGAGTCTGACAGCAGTGACATTTAGAGAAAGCAATGCCAAGAAAAGAGATCAGCATTCTGTGCGGTCTGCTGTTGGAAATGAACAAGAGCACCTCTGAATGTTCCTTCATCTCCCAACGTGTGTGTGCTTTTCTGGTTAACAATGCTTCGCCCTCAGGTCTGCCTGGTTTCTATTGTTCATAACTCCCTGATGTTATGAGGTCCACACGGGGTTGTTTAAATACTTGAGCAGAGGAACAATTAAACCCGACGCTGAAACACTAGCCTGGTGGAAAGATAAAGTTACTCCCTCAGTAACACACCCCGCTACCCGGAGCTCGGCGAAGATTAACTCTGCAGAGGCTTCCGGATGAGGGTGTAGTAAACACGGCCTGCCAGGGACGGGCGCTGAGGGTGGACGAAGGGGTGGACCCAAAGTCCTGAAATGCTGCGTTTGGAAGAGGTGCCGTGGAGCGGTAGGGTGTTGCTGAGTGCCCGGAAGATGTCAGCCACCCCCGCTGTTGCCCGGAAGCCCTGAGGATGTCCTGCACCCACCAGCATGCCTGGATGGTTCAAAACCGCGTGGTTCGGGCTGGCCTCTCTTCTCAGCTTCTCCTCCTTCCTCCTCCTCATCGTCGCCCTGGCTGCGCCCCACTGGCGGAGCGGGAAAATCCTCTGTCAGACTGGAGTGGACCTGGTCAATGCCACGGACCCAGAGTTGGTCAAGTTCATTGGGGACATTTACTACGGGCTCTTCCGCGGGTGCAAAGTGCGGCAGTGCGGCCTCGGGGGCCGCCGGTCCCAGTTCACGAGTGAGTACGCTGGGGGCTTGCGAGCTGACTTAGTCACTGATTTCTTTTTTAGTTTGTATGAGTGCTTCTTTCTAAATATGGGATTCACAGCTGCCACCATCTAAGGCATAATGTCAAAGTCCATAGCTAGCACTGAAGCTTTTTTAAAAAAACAAGACTTTCCTTCGTTTTTTAAATAGAGGCATCTAGAAACGTTAGAAATGGGGATTTGGGTATTTTTGCAGTTGACCCCTATTGAGAATGCCTATTAAAGTACTAAGGGCTTACAGGTGTGAGGCACTCCACTCATGGCTGCACACAGCTTGCCTTTTAAGCCTTACAGCAAAGTTACAAAACAGGAAGGGTTAATGTTCCCATTTGCAGAGCAGTACACTGAGGCTCCAGAGGTTGGGTAATTTGCCTAAGGTCCCCCAGCCAGGAAACCACAGAACCAAATGCTAGACTCCAGATCCATGTGACTGTGGCATTCTCAGCCACAACAGCACTCAGGTGCAGACCCCTTGCAGAAATGAATCTTCCACATCTGTGTCGCCAAAAGCCTCATAGTGTGAGACAAAGCAAAGGAGCTCGGCCTGTAGGTGCTGGGATCAGCCCACGATGGTTGCAGTTCCTGTGGGTGTTTTCCTGGCAGAGACCTGGGCATGGTACCTGATGGAGTCTTCTCTGGAACGTGAGCAGCACCGGCCTTGGCCTGTGTTCAGTCTGGTTCAGAGCATCAGGATGTAAAAAGAGCAGTCAGCACAGGCAGAAGCAGGAATCCGAGCTGCCCTTAGGAAGGGTCTTTCCAGAAGGGGGAAAAAAAGCCCTATATTCTCCAAGTCTTTGTTGTTTTCTTCTCCAAGCTTTTAGAATCAAACAGCTAGATCGCTAGTGACAATGGTGTCCTACAAAACTAGAATTCATTAACACAATGCTGATGCAAGAGGATCAGGAGTTTTATCTGTGCCTGATAGCTGTATCTCAGTGTTCAGAAACCTGGCCAGGGCACCTATCCTATTAAATGCATAAAGACAGAAAGCTGGAACCATTGACAAATGTAAGACAAATCGTCATCATTTACATACATGAAAAAAATACATGTTTATTATGTTTATTCAAGAAAAAGCCAGAGCAGATTTATATTTATCCACCAATTAAACTGGGTCCTGAATATTAGAAAAATAGCTTCACTCAAAACATGACCTAAATTATAAAAACACCACATATAAGCAAAAAAACAATTAAGGAAATGGCAAAAGGAGACCATGACATCAGCAGTGCTTGATCCTAAACTGGATTCCCTGGCTGCAAAGGATGTCACTGAGACACTTGGCAAAACCTGAAGAATGGGTGTGAGGGTTACAGGGCAGTCACATGCCAGTTGTATCCTAAAGATAAGACCTCTGGCATCCTCAGCTCACAGAAATTTCATGGCAAATGAGCACCTTCTGTTTGCCCTTTCAAGGAACTACTTCCCTCCCTGACTCAGGACAACCATTCCCCTGGGCTCCTCTAACATGTTCCGGTCCATGAAGCATCAGAATTGTGTGACACAAACACTGAGGATGTCCATTTTCTAGCCCTGAGTAGGACAGTTTCTGAGAACGTTTTGTTTCCTGCAGCCCTGGGGTGGTGCCACTTCGTGCACAGGACCTTGGAAGGGATCTTCTTTGGAAGGTCTTGCAGGGTCCCTTGGGCTCAGGTCCCTCTTGTGTCAGCTGACATCACACCACCGCAGTTTGGGGTCATTGCATGTATTACTATGTTCTCCAGTGGCAATCTAGTGTCCCTTAGATTTACAACCCTTAATTCCAGCACAGCAGCTATGAGGTATTCAAAGTCTCTCACCTCTAACTTGGAATCAGATCTACCAACATCTGACACACACAGTTAATCTGTAAGGGAAAAAAATCCTGTTTGCAGGGCAGAGATGAGGGTGTAGAAGTGCTCTGCAAACTATGGAAGGGGGAATTTTTATTGGGCCTCATTTACAAACAGTGTCTTTTCTCCCCTTCACAGAGGCCTCCCAAAGGTCTGCCCAAAGGACTCAGTTCCCACATCAATCACAGGGAAAACCAAGGCTCCAAGCAACACAGACCGTTATGGTTCCTCTTCATGCCCAGACCTTTCAAAATAAAAGCAAATGAACCTGTCTGTCTGGGTGGCTGGAAATAGAGAAGTAGACAAACATTAAATTAGCGGTGTCTACACATTCATCTATTGTTGAGAATTTACAGCCCAGGTGCCATTAGGAAAATAGGGATGAACGAAACAGACAAGTGCCTGCCTGCCGAAAGGGGGAACGGGGGTGCACACCAGGCATAAGGAACATTCATCTCTCAAGCCATCACTGGTGGTTTTGACTATGCTAGATGAGAGATTTTTATTATGCCCCTTTCACTGACAATGAAATTGAAAATCAAAGAAATCAATACAAGAAATAAGTTTTGTAAAATCACCTAACATGAAGGTGTGCTGCAGTTTTTAGTTCTCTGATTCCCTCCCAGCTTCTATTCCACAAATATCCTTCCAGTGGCCAGGTCCTGGGTTTGACTTCCATTGCCATTCTGGGGCAAAGAGGACTGCCAGTCTTCTCTGGGATCAGGAACAGATGGATCAGCTAAGTTTTAGATGCTGGTAGACTAATTCACCAATTCTGGGATTCAAGGGAAGTAGCTCTAGTGCATATTAAATAAGAATATTTATTCAAATTCAAAATAACACCACCAGAATTCAAGCTACACTATGATTAAAATATTAAGCCTTTACTTGTCTAAGTTTTCTGACTTTTCTATTACAAGCTTTGTAGCAGAGCAGGCAACACTTACTGGCTGTGTGACTTTGGCTAGGCGCTGTGACTTCTCCGTGCCTCAGTTTCCTCATCTGTAAAAGTGTGAGAGGCTAGGGCTGGGGATGTAGCTCAGTGGCACCCTGCCTGCCTGGCAAGCACAAGGTCCCGAGTTCAATTCCCGGTATCAAAAAAATTAACGTGAGAGAGGGTAGCCATGAGCATTAAAAGAAGAACATGTATCAAATGCCTGGCATGCAGTCTGCACTTGATACAGGCAGCTGTGATCATTTGTGGCTGTGGATCGTCTGTGTTGATGGTGGTCATTTTCATCTGGAAACTTAAATTTCACTGTAAGTCAGTGACACCTAAAACTCTTGGTAATAGTACAAACATGAAAGGCCAGTGGGCAACAGTGTTATCAGGGCAGCTCTGTGTGACAGGACCAAATATAGAGTTGCCCTCAGAAACACATGGGAAGAATCGGTACATTGAAACTCCCAAGGAAAGGCTTGAATTTCTTAATAGTGATGTGTATTTAAAAGATGAGATCTCCATGCACCAGGAGAGCCTGAGCTCAGGTCATGGCCCATGAATGGGGCTGGGGGAAGGGAGATGAGATTCACCCTTTGCCAATGAAGAGTTTTTAAAACATATCTCATATCCTTACTGCTCATAGAATCTGAGCTGGGTACTCTATTTCCCTCACCACATCGATCTAGAACCCCTACATCTCTTTATTTTCCTGTCCCCCATCATTCTAATATGATTATTTCTCAATATTTTATTAAATCACATATGGATATGGGTTGACATAATCATGGGTGTGAGATAAGTTATTTTTAAAAGATGCATCATGTGATATGGTTGGACCTTTGTTTATTAAGTCTGCCTCTCTTGATTCACATGCTGGTTTTTCTCCAATCTTTTGCTATTGTAATAAACATCCAATATATACAGGTCTGAGTACATGTAAGAATATGTTTGGAAAATACATCCTTAGAAGTGAAATTGCTTTGATAAGATGTTGCCAAATTGCACTCTGACAAGGCTATAGGAATTAATATGCCCATGAGATTTGAGAGTGCCCTGTCCCTAGACCATCATCAATACAATACATTAAACATTTTCAATTTTGCTGATCCCATAAGTGATTATTTTCCATTTTAAGAATTTAGCGCAGGTTACTGTGCTAGTCATGTGTTTGAAGACTTGCATGACCAAGAAAAGGAATAGCAGGGCTGAGGGTGTAGCTCAGTGGTACAGTGCCTGCCTGGCAAATGTGAGGTCCTGAGTTTGATTCCTGGTACAAAAAAGAGGGGACGATAATAAAAACACTAGGTAATTAGATATATACTACTGTGTTTGGAGTAAGAATAGGCTGAGGGTTTGAAAAGAAGGGGGAGAAGTCTAGCAGAAATGGGAATAGAGATGCCTCAGAAAGACAAACTCCAGGGAAGGAGCTCATCTTCCCAGGTACAATTTCAAAGGCTGCTAACCATGTGGAGATAACAAGAAATGGAAATACAGAACTGAAAAGAAGTTAGATCGGAGCTCAGGATATAAATGCAGAGTGCCTGGAAACTTGTGCATGGAAAGGAAACCTTTCAGGATAAGGAGAAAAGCTTTACTTCTGAGGCTTGGAAGATACCACCCCTCACCAAATAAAAAGAGATAGGTGGGCGGGGCAAGGAGGTAGGGGGATAGAGTGAGAGGGTGAGAGTAGGAATCAGGAATACATTGAGTCCTGGCCCAAGGGAGGGATGGGAGCCCATGAGGGGCTGATCCCTGGTGTCCAATGCAGAAATGAGGTCAGGACTCACCAGATGGCCCCAGACTTCACCGGCAGACACTCAGCAGAAACCCTGGCATAGCTGCAGAGGAGTGGGCATGCTCAGTTCTTTGCCTTCTATTACTTTAAATTCTCCATTTACAATGACTGAAAGCTGGCTTGAAATTCTTTATGCCAGATGATACATACGACTATAATCCTATCTGGAGTTTAGAGTTGCCTTCCCCAAAGATAAAAGACTTAATATCTCCAACCCAATGGGCAAAGGGAATTTATAAGATCTCCCTCATGTCTTTATCCTGAGGGTTGAATGAGATGATGGATGGCAGATGTACAAAGCATGGCCCCTGACCATGCTCAGCAAAAGCTGATTACCTTCCACTCATATGCAGCCATTGCTACCCCATTGCAGTGTTGAAGAAACTGAAGCTTTGAGAAGCCTTGTGACTTTCCCAAGTCAGAGAGTAAAAATAACAGCAATGCCCACTCTACCATTTTTGAGAACTGACTCTCAGGAAATACTTGAAGTATTCTAGTATGTCATTTCACCTTCATAACTGGTACTAGTAGCAAATATAGATAAAAGAAACACTATTGAATATCTCACAAAGTTATTCTGCCACATCCTATGGAAAACTAGTATTTTCATAAAGTATTGTGCATGAGAATTAAGTGTCCTTCATACTTGGGGACAATAATTTCAATCCTGTCGAGCCAGTGTCTAGGGTATGTGTGCACCAGTTCACCTCAGACACCAGAGCTGTAAGATCAATGCACCTTAAGTTGCCAGCTGGGACACATTTTGGTCTTGTGCCCACTCCAAGGAGAAGGAGGTTGTTGATCACCTGACAAGTGGCAACTCTAGGATCCAGGAGTTTATCTCAGAAAGTGTCATGATTTCAGGAAACCTGTGTTTCCCCTCTTGCCCTCACCCTCCTCTACAAAAGCCTTCCTGGGAAGCAAGCTTTGGTTTTCTATGAAAATGAGCTGAACTCTGACTCTGAACTATGGGCTATGTCTTCTCTCCCCAGTCTTCCCACACCTGGTGAAGGAGCTCAACGCTGGTCTTCACGTGACAATTCTACTTCTCCTCTTCCTGGCCTTGGCCCTGGCTCTGGTCAGCATGGGCTTTGCCATTCTCAACATGGTCCAGGTCCCATATCGTGCAGTGAATGGCCCTGGGGGCATCTGCTTATGGAACATACTGGCAGGTAAGAGACCTCCTAAGGAGAGAAATTATTGTCCACACCATCACTGGGATAAACTCCAATTAGTTGGGGAAAAGGTACAAAGGTACTAAAATGTCTCCTTTGACCTTCACTTCTCAGGATCTAAGATCTCCTTGGTAGGCCCCAATGTCCTCTTTGCTAAAGGTTGAATGACCATAGTGTTACAGTATATGAGTGGCTAAAGACGGTGATGAGGGGTCAGGGTGACAGGGAAAACAGGAGACAAAGATCTAGGGATGGAGAGATGGGTGAGGAGGTAGAGCATCTGCTACAGCTGGTGTGAGGGGAGCTCCACTAACGACAGAAGAAAGCTACCTGGAAAAGGCTGGTTCACTGAGGCTCCCCATAGAGAAGGGAGAAATGAAGTGCCAATGAGTTGTCCCCAACTCCCTCACACCCTCCTATTAATGCAGATGTGGTCCTTTGGCTGTTTGAACTTCTATTCTCTCACTTCCCCAAATACATTTTCTGTACCATACCTTAATACTAGATGGATGCTACTTATTGAGCATTCACCAAGTGGGGGTTTTACATGACTTATTTCATTTTAACCTTACAATTCTGATGAGGCGCTATTCTTAAACTCATGTTTACAGGTAAAGAAACTGAGGTTCAGGCAAGTTAAAAAATCACACAGCAATCAGTAGTAAGGGTAATATCCCAACTATTGTGATTTATTCTCTTAAGCCAAAAATGTTTCCAACATAAAACTGTGTGTGTGTGTGTGTGTGTGTGTGTGTGTGTGTGTCTTGTGATGTGGGAACATTAATACACAAAAATTAATTCACATTTAGTTTTACATATAACAAACCATCTGTATTGAAAGTAGCAAAATCCCCCAAAACAAGGGCTGTCTAAGAATGCTCATGTCAAATGGTCAAGATTTCATCATGGCACTATATTTTACACAGATTCCACTACCTGTACCTAATACAAGGTGACCATAAAGACAAGTAGTGTTATTATCACAGTGATAGTATAATATCAAGAAATCAATTATTGATTATTTGATTGTGGTAACAGATGCTGACCACCCTGCAGGATCATTTATATACACGGCTTGCCCTGGTCTAGACAATAGCTGTCCTGTTCGTATCTATATGGGCCTTCACCGTGGCTGGCACATAGACATGCTTATGATATAAATACTTTTCTCTTCCAATCTCCTTCCTCAGAGAGAGGATGCTCAAATTCTACTGATGAGCAAATAAACTGACAGCAAAACTTTAGTGTCAAAGGCTAAAAATAGGAATAACTTTCAATGAATAATCTCACTTGAGAATTTGTGTTGAGCACGTAAGACAAGAGCATTAAGATGTACACAAAATGGTGCTCATCACAGCATTTATAATATTAAAAGTTGGAAGTCACCTAGATTTCCAGAAATAAGATCATGCTTAAATAAGTTAGTGTCTCCAAAATAAAATATTATGTATGCAGTCATTTAAAACTGTGCGGACAGAATATTGAACATGCAAAAATGTTCAGATGAAGGGAAAAAAATCAAAGTAAGAGCAACATAATATTCATTTTATTAAAGAGAAAAAATGTAAAAAAATACACTGTACTTAGTGTTCAAACTATTTATACTTGGATTTTAGGATAAAGGTAAATTTCTATTCTGTGCTCTCTAGTGTCCAAATTTTCTTCAGTGAAGATGTAATAGTCTAAAAACAAGCCTAATATTGAGGGCGTTATGCTATTTGAAATGAGCCAGTAACAAAAGCTTAATTAATGTGTATTTTAATATTAGTTTAATCAAAACAGGGAAGAGAAGGATACACAAAGAGACAGAGAGAAACCCAATTCCTAAGAAGGTCAAAGTTTCAAATAAGTGAAAGAGAAATAAATGGAGTTTAGAATTCCAGACTTTCCCTGTTCACCTGCCTTTCATCCTGTTGTCTTTCTCCTCTTATGTCCTCCTGATGTTCTTCAACATGGAAAGAATGAAATAAAACAGGAATGTGGCGGCCCAGCCGTCACAACACGAACGTACCTGAGTTGGGGAGTGAGGACTGAGAAAGGAAAGAACACTCACACCTGAGTGGAGACCAAGAGAAGTCGGGTTTATTTCTACAGAAACAGCTTTCATTAAAGGCACATTAACAGGAAGCATCAAGCAATCATCTCCATCATTTCTTATGCAAAAACAGGAATTCCTGATTTCTACAGATACCACCAAATCTTTGGCTATCTCTTTTGAGTTCCTCCCATGCAGGGTCAAAGAACAAATAAGCTTAACAAACAGAGTCCTTGAAAGGTAACAAATGTTACATAGCTTGTATCAATGCCTTCATTGTAGAGGAAGAAGTTTCCTTTCAAACGTCAAATGCCAGAGAGCCACGGTGGGCTCCCACACAGGAAGGCAATGGTCTGGCCCCAGGGTATAATCTCAGTCTGCAAAGCATGATTTTCTTACCTCCCCCCAGCCAACCCACATAGAAATCCTAGGATATTTAGAGACTGAACTTTCCTAAACAAGGACCTCCTAGAAAGAATGGTGTCTTAGTTACTTTCTTTGTCACTGAGACACAATACCCATTGCCCACAATTTAAAGGAGGAAAGGTTGATCTGGACTCACAGTTTGTAGAGCTTTCAGTCCATAAGCAGCTGGCTTTCGAGGCAGGGCATCATGGTAAAGGGGCATGGCAGTGGGGAAATACCTCATGGCAGGGCAGACAGGACAGAGATCAAGGGAGGAGGAGGAACGTATATACATATACCCCTTCTCGGCCACACCCACAGTGACCTAGCTCTTGTCATCAGGCTTCAACTCCGAACCTCACACCCAGCTATTATTAGTCCACCGGTGGACTAATCCAGTGATAAGTATCACACACACCCCCAGTATCCAGTCATCCCCCAAAAGCCGCACCTACGAGCACATGAGGTTTGGGGGGATCAGTCAATCTGATACAAAGCTTGTTCTCCTTTCCCCACACAACCCTGACTCTCGCCCTCACCCTGTGGGCTACCTGCTACTTTTAAAAGCAAATTAAAATGTGTGCTTCCCTAGTAATTCTTTAAACTCAATGTGAGTACACACGGCACAGAAATGTCACCTCACAGAGCGTGCGTACAGCTTCAGAAAGGAGCGGTGCGTGAAGGGGATCTTTTGGGTTTCAGGTGGAGCAGTGGCATTAGCCATCGCCGGCTTCATGGCTGCGGTGAAATTTCACCACCTGACGGAACGAATCGCCAACTTCCAGGAGAGACTCTTCCGGTTTGTCGTGGTGGAAGAGCACTACGAAGAGTCATTTTGGATCTGCGTGGCCAGCGCTTCGGCCCACGCGGCAAACTTGGTTGTGGTGGCGATCAGTCAGATTCCCCTCCCAGAGATCAAGACCAAAATTGAAGAGGCCACAGTCACCGCAGAGGATATCTTGTACTAATCGCCTCCCACACCCAATCCTGAATCTGTTCTGTAGTGTGAATGGGGGTCCTCACTTCTCTGCTGCCTTCCCACTTCCTGTTCCCGCAGTAAGAAGAAGGATGTGGAAGGACCCAGGGGGCGGCTGGGCCAGAGAGGAAAAACCTCCCAGAATCCCCAGCATTCCTGCTCTTCTCCCTCATGACTTGGGGTTGGAGATTCTCTTGCCTGCTGTGTGTGACAGTGGACAATTCACTTAATGACTACTGCTCAGCCTCCTCTGTAAAATGGAGCTAGCTACAACTTTGTAAGTTTGTTCTAAGGTTTACATGGGTGATGATGTTCGGAGCAGAACACTCTACAAACCCAAGGTACAAATACAAGGTGGGATGGAAATAAACAGTGGATTTAAACTTTTAAAAAATTACCTTAATAAAAGACACATTGTCATTCATTTCCCTACAAAATTCTCCTCCTTGTTCCAACACACTTACCCACCCTTCTTGCACTTTCTGAAGCCGTTCTGGAAATTCTCTTTCATGAGTGTCTTTATGAGGTGTGATAAAAGAAAATATGGGGAATACCGCTGCCACCCAACAAAAGGGAGAAACATAAAGCATTGCAGTGGGTCTTCATCTATCATAGGCGCCAGATTTGGTACCCCAAGACTCCTGGCTCTACCCCAAAGTTAAAATGACCGTGAAAGATTGATCCAAGACATTGAGGCTCCTGAAAAACTTCCGCAACTGCTTCAAAAAGTGACAAGCATGATGGGATGAGAGTATTAGAAGTGAAAGAGAGTATTCTGAGAGCAATTAATCACATGTCACTTACTGTCAATGTTTTAATTTTTTATTGAGTTTATTGGTACATTTTAGGTATGCAGTACAGTTACATTCATCATTGGGATCTTGTACCTTTACACGACAGGTCTCGGTTCTCATTTTTCCCCCTTGTCCCTGCCCTCCCTTCACCCCCTCCTACCCGCCCCATTTAAAAACACTTTATTTCCATTTTTTCACTTTCTCATGGTTTTTTTTGTTTTCCGTTATTTCCTTTCCCCTACCCTTCCCACTTTCCCTACACCTTTAGCCCTTTTCTTCCTATTTCACATTGTCATTTTATAAAAAATTAACGTGCACTGTACTTTTTGATCGTACCTCGTACACTCCATAAATATCAGTGAACTTTTGGCCTGTTCCATACAGTAGGGAGATGAAAGGATGAATACGATAATATCTTCATCTTTCCATATGACACAAGAATCAGAAAGCAACAGTAACACTAAAAATGAAAATAACTGCCTCTTTAAGCAGCTATCTCCTGGACAGTATCTACGAGTTTTACACATGTTAACTTCTTAGTGCTTTACTGCAGACTCAGGTGGCTGGTACTATTTTAGCTTCACTCAACAGAGACAAGACTGAGGTACAGTGAAGCTGGGAAACTTGCTGACATCAGGAACTAAATCTAAGAAGTCTCGAAACAGAAGCTATACTTTCAACCACAGTGATAATCTATTCTTCGATGTACAGGTAACTGTAGTGCCATGGGATAAAGGCTAAAATAGTACAGGTGTAAAAGCCCAAGGAAGGAATTAAATCTTCGGGATGGGTTCCATGGTATTACAGTGTCACCGAACTAACATTTGATCTGAACCATGGAAAGATGAATACACTTTTTCCAGGGGCAAGGAGAGGGCATTCCAGGCAGCGTCAGTAAGGAGGGTGGGCACCAGGAGGCATACAGCACATGAATGCTCCGTGGGATGAAGATGCTGCTCTGACTGGTGGGGAAACCCAGGTGTTTCATTTTGGGTTTTCCTAATGGGTGCCGTGACGGCTAATTTTATATGTCGGCTGGGAAAGGCCGGAGCACCCAGACACTTGGTCAGGCATTAATCTAGATGTTTTTCTGAAGATATTTTTGATGAGATTAACATTTTAGTCGTATCTTCCATAATCTGGTTGGGCCTCATCCAATCAGTTGAAACCTTTAATGGAAAAAAGAGTGCCCTCTCCC